TAAAATTAATTAGAAAAGCAATTATATTACGCTACAAATATGTGTTCGTGCAGCGATTACAAATCCATTTCTTATTGATAATATTTGTTATAGAAATATTATTATTATTGCTGCCGGGCTGAGAGGAGCAGCCCTTCGCTCATTACCGCGACCTATAAGCTCTATTGTAACTTTAGCCCTCCAAAAGTTTAGAGCAAATGTAGGCCCTTGATATTAACTTGATATGAACCTTAGTATTATCCCAAGGTCTTGTACCTTTATGTCGGTAGGTGTCAAGAGAGCTTTACCGAAAATTTTGTGTCTTAGACGGCCTCTGGCGACGCAATTACACAGTATATGTTCAGCTGTTTCTGACTCGTCGTTGCAAAGTTTGATCCTCTGCTTGTCCAATGTGGAAGAGGTGGTATTTTAAGGGCGCATGACCGGTCAGGTAACCTGAGAGCGTCCTTAGATCTCCTTTACTGAGGCATAAAACCTATTTGGTTTTGTTTTGCGACGGAGTTATACTCTTCGCTTGTCAGTGACTTGGAAGTTCTTTCCAGCGTAAGGATATCTTTGGGGCCTCCAAACTGTTGATTTTTTATTTTAGGTGGCTTTTTTGTAGTCCACAACCAGGTTGGGGTCCAATGAAGGGCGTATTCGCTGCCTCTCTGGCCAGTTTGTCCGCCTTCTCATTGCCCTCAATGTTGCTGTAACCTGGAACCCACCATAGAGTAACATCATTGCCCATAGCGAGTTCTCTCAGGTTGCTGGTACACTCTCTGATCAGTGCGGCATCACACGTGTAGGCCTGAATTCGGATCTAACTGTCTTTGAAGCATCGGTGTACCAGCCTAGGGCTCCTCTTTTTAGTTGAGGCCCACTCTTCACCTATTCATCCCTGCTTCTAAATATTACCTTATACAGTTGGTTGAAATTGTATTCTATCGGTATAAGGTCTGTTTTAATTACAATAAGGTGATTTAGACATGGGTTTTTGAGGTTTCGAGGTGTTCTCTGATTTTACCCTGCATTAATTTGAGTGAAGAAACTGTTTTCAGTGATAAGGCACTTGAATCTGCCTCCTTTTGTATATATAAATGGAATGGTGTAAGACCGAGTAGTGCTTCCAGAGCAACCGTTGGACAAGATCTCATTGCACCCGTTATATTAAGACATGCTAACCGCTGGATTTGTGCCAGCTGTTGTTGTGCTGTCTTATGTTTTGTTTTTGGCCACCAAACCAGTGAGGCGTAGGCGACCATGCGTCTGATTATTGCTACGTAGGCCCAATGAGCCATTCGTGGTTTGAGACCCCAGTTCCTTCCTAGGAGCCTGCGGCAGTTCTGGTTTGCCATGATGGACTTTTTCCTTATCTAAGTGTGAGTTCCAGTTTAGTTTACTGCCCTAGGTATTTAACTTCTGTTTTGAGGTTAATAGTTCTGCTTTCAATGGAGGGTGTTTTTAATTAGCTTCTTTCTCCGAGTGAAAGGGACTATTTTGGGGTTTTATTTGGATTGATGCTGAGCCTATTGGTTCTACACCAATTGCTGGGGAGTAGTAGAGCTTTCTGCATTAGTTGAGTTATGATTGTACCATATTTACCTCTTATTATGATTACCAGGTCATCAGCATATTCCTGAATCTTGAATCCATTTTTTGCTCCATAGCAGAGGTGGTAGCACTCCCCCTTGGGGTCATCCTCTTAGCGCCTTAATAGGCATTGACTCGCCTCCCAGACTGGCCATGATCTGCCGACTTTTCAACATAGCTATGCATTTGATTGTCGACGGATGTATATCTTTTACGTTTAGAGCCTTTTCTATGGATTCATAGGAGATGTTATCAAAAGCACTCTCTATGTCTATGAAAGCACATAGGGCTATCTCTTTGGTTGCAATTGCCTCCTCTAAAGTGCTAGTCAAAGCATGGAGAGCAGTAATTGTTGATTTTGCTTTCTAGTAAGCATGTTGACTAGGGTGGAGTGGATTAGTGACAAGCACTCCATTTCTAAGGTATTGATCAATTACCTTTTTCATCCCTTTGAGGAGAAATGAAGTAAGCCTAATTGAACGCCTACCACTTTTTGGTATGAAGACCATCTTGTTATAGAATACCACATATTGTAAAAAATTTGTATATGCTTATAATTCAAAAACATGTCTTACTATTAAACATTAAACAGTTTTTTTTAATTTAGTTTTTAGATTGGATAAAAACTTACTCAACTCAAAACACTATCTCAACAAAACCAATCGTTTCAACCTTTTTAAACTTGTGGTTTACAAGTTACGTTAGATTCAAATCGAGTTTAGCCATATTTGAAGAAATCGTTGATAATCTATTAAATACGTTTGGATCAATAACTCAAGTAAATCAACATCATATTGCTTTAAAGACAACAAATAATTATTTTTTTTAGGATACACAAGGTGTACACACTTTTGAACTAATCAACGAAGCAACTACTCATACATTTATTGAAAAAATTTCCATTATCTTGAAGATGATGTTCGATCACGTTGATTTAGTTATAAACAGATTAAAATCTGAATATTCCATTTTAATGTATCCAAACGTCCAAAGTCTCGAACGACGAAAAGAAAATTTAAAAAATAAAGAACGCGGGATCTCTTGTTATCTTTGTCTATTAATAACTATTTTAGATTCCGTTTGTACGATTTTAGTTCCAATCGGAAATTTATCCGAAGCCGTTTTGAAAAATATTATTTCGTTGTATAACTGTTTAAATACTTGTGCCAAGTATTTTCTTGCCAGATCATCGAATATCAATCCAGCTTTCCAATCGGCAAGGTAAATTTATTTTTAAATAATCCTTTGTGATAATAATAATTATTTTTGGTCTAGATTTGATAGCGTAATAAAACTAGCTGGACGACAACTTTCTCCATCAGTTAATAAATTTATATTTTATTTAGAAGAAACTCAAAAAGAAAACGAATCCGAAGTGAAAAAGAAAAAAAAATCCAATGATATATTAAAAAACAAAGTACTATACGAAACGAAATCGATTCCTAAAGTCGTATACTTAACTGAACAATTTAGCCGTTTAGTTACCCAGTTATCAAAAAAGACCAAAATCGACGTTTTTAAATACATCGGACTTGGTACTACGAGAGATTTTCGTATTAAAGATATTAATACCGTTTTAAAGAAAAGTATAGNGAAGATGTGGAAAGTAATAGCGAAGGTGAAAAAGAGGAACCACCTTTAAAGAAAATGAGACAATAATTTTTTATTAAGTAATATATTATAATACACCATTTATTTCGTTTAAATGAGTTTATTTTTATTCATTAAATTTATTTTTGTGATATTAATTGAACTTAATTGTTACCAATTTTCATTTATTAATCCAACAACGAAATTATGTTTTGCCATTTATCTACTTAGTGGATAAAAGGGAGTATTCTAAAACACTATGTCAAACAAAATGTCACTCCATGTCAATTCAAAGCATAGTAAAAAGGATTCTTTACTTAAAATAAGACATATTGTGCTTTGCCCATCAAGAAGATTCTTCTCTAGGCGAGTTTTGGGGCTTGATTTGATAAATCAACTCGAAACGAAGGATGCAAACTCTCTTGCAAGAAGACATTTAGCGTCAAACGGCGTTCGATGTGATAATTGAACATGAAACCGTCAGCTTTGGACGATTCTACCGCCTCGTCCGCAAGCCACCTCGGTGATTTGAGGCGAAATCGTGCCTTACGTATCTTAGTAAACGTACAAAGTCACTTGCAAGATTGAACGATTCTAGCGACCTCGACGATTTATGGTAAGGATATAAAGTTTCTTGTAAGAAGACATTTATCATCAAACCGCCGAGATCGCTTGAGGGCGTGGCGTTCGATTTGATAAATCAACACGAAACCGCCACTTTTGCAGCGTTCTAGCGCCTCGAGAAGTTTTAAAATCAATGTTAATAAGGAAAGTTGTACAATTTTTGATGTTTTATCACATGCATCTAATAAATAGTTTGTGATGAAGGGAAGGTTTCTTTTGATTGCAGCGTCACCTCTATTTTTGTACAATGAAAAATAACAATATTTAAGAACTGAAGTCATTTAAGTACTCTAACAATAACTTTTTACAAAACTAAAATATTTCAATCCATCCGGATATACTTGCTCTAGGAGTTTTACGTGAAACACCCTGTATAATCTCATTTATTTATTTATTTATTTATTACAATTTGGGACGCAAACAGATAGAACATCCCCAGTGAAGCATCCTCACAAAATATCGAAATTAACATTATATTTCATAAAGAGACAATACACTTAGAAACATAAGCAAGAAATTTAAATATAAAGAAAAGTAGTTACAATGTTTTTGCAAAGCTAATGCAGAATTAAAGTGGTTCGCAACTAAACAATATCGCGCAACACGAAATCTTTAAACGAACGCGAGATGCGAACCATCATCCATCATCATAGAAAACTGCTTCAGAATCGCGTTGAATGGTGCTCAAAACTTACAAACTTACAGTGAACATGGTCTTTGTAAATCATAGTGCTTCGAGTTTTTTTTAATTGACAACCTCCGAAAAAATTTGAAGGCAGCGAATTGCAACTATTGTTAGATGAAGATTACGCTCACATGAACTGAATG